GATTAGTGTGTATGTCCTATGTTCCATCGGAACGTCAATTGGCTGATGTTCTAACAAAGGGGCTGAACAGTTCGGTTTTCCATGATCTTGTATTCAAGCTAGAAATGGAAGATATCTATTCCTCAGCTTGAGAAGGAGTGTTGACGTGTAAATTAGCTGTAAATAGATTAGGAGAATCAATTTGAAATCCCCTAAATTGAGGGATTCGGTTAGGCAGTTTCTCGATTTGGGAATGATTTAGTTTCCTATTATTTCTCCTGTAATCTACTATATAATACCGTGTAATACCAATTCATAATAACATAAGATAATGAAGGTTTCAGGGCAGAAAAAAATATTCTTTATTGATCAATTTCTATACAAGAAGTTACAATATTTATAGGAGAAAACCCTATGGGAATCAGGAAATAAAATCCCATGGAAAGAGGAATTAGATGAGATCCTTATCTCAAGAGATCTCTTTTAAAAACTGAAAGTATAAACTACTTTCCTATCTTATCTCTAAGCCCCTATTAACCGGATTATTCCTATTTTCTACACTCCCCCTCAAGTTGGTGCATAGATATCTATCATGCCCAACTTGCTAATGAGAAACTCGAAGTTTGATCTAAATAATCCTTTAGTAAGAACATCAGCTACTTGTTGTGAGGTTGGAACAAATGGCAAGCGGATGGCACCAGCTTCAATCTTCTCTTTTAGAAAATGTCAATCAATCTCAACATGTTTAGTTCTATCATGTTGGATTGGATTGTGGGCGATGCTGATTGCTGCTTTGTTGTCACAGAACAGTTTCATAGGCATAGTGATAGGTCTTCTCAGTTCTTCCAAAGTCCATTTAAGCCATATCATCTCACAGATCTCTTGTGCCATTGATCTGTATTCTGCTTCTACACTGCTTCGAGCCACTACATTTTGTTTCTTGCTCCTCCAAGTAACTAGGTTTCCCCATACAAATGTGCAGTAGCCAGATGTAGACCTTCTATCTGACGTAGATCCCGCCCAATCTGCATCTGTGTAAGCTTCAATACCCCGTCGTTCATTCTTCTCAAATAACAGTCCTTTTCCCGGTGAACTCTTCAAGTACCTCAGGATGTGGTAGGCTGCTTCTAGATGTTCTTCATGGGGAGAATACATAAACTGGCTCACTAGGCTGACAGCGAATGATATATCTGGTCGAGTATGTGATAAGTAGATTAGCTTCTCGACTAGTCTTTGGTACTGAGCTGTATCCACCTGTCTTCCTTCTTTGTTTCCAAACTTCTGATTTGGATCAACTGGGGGTTCTGCAGGGCGACATCCACTCATCCCGGTCTCTTTAAGAAGATCAATCACATACTTCCTTTGTGAAATTGCAACTCCCTTTCTTGACCTGGCTACTTCCATACCAAGGAAGTATTTTAGTGAGCCTAGGTCCTTAATCTCAAATTTGGAAGCCAAACTTTGCTTTAGACGATTCATCTCAACAGTATCATCCCCAGTAAGGATGATGTCATCCACATACACTATAAGAACAACTACTTTCCCATTGGAGTGTCTTGTGAACATCGTGTGATCTGCTTACCCCTGGTCATATCCCTGTCTTTTCACAAATTGAGTGAATCTCTCAAACCAAGCTCTTGGGGATTGTTTTAGACCATACAAAGACTTTTTTAGCTCGCATACCCGGGTTCCATATTTTTCTTCAAATCCTGGAGGAGGATCCATGTAGACTTCTTCATCTAAATCACCATTAAGGAACGCATTCTTCACATCTAGTTGCTGTAGTGGCCAATCTAAGTTGGCTGTAAGTGATAGGAGTACCCTGATAGTATTGAGCTTTGCCATTGGTGCAAAGGTTTCAAGGTAGTCAATCCCATATGTTTGAGTGAACCCTTTTGCTACTAGGCGAGCCTTGTATCTTTCCAGAGATCCATCTGACCAGTATTTTGTTGTGAACACCCATTTACAGCCAACAGTCTTCTTCCCCTTCGGCAATTCTATCACTTCCCAAGTTCCATTCTTTTCAAGGGCTTTCATTTCCTCGAGAACAGCTTCCTTCCATTCAGGAACCTTTAGAGCATCTTGCACATTCTTTGGAGTTTCCATACTAGACAATTGTGAGGTAAAGGCAGAGAAAACAGGTGACAGATTTTTGTAGGACACAAAGTTTGACATGGGATATTTTGCACAGGTATATAGGGCTCGGATTCAAGATTGGGTAGGTTGGTGTGAATAGATAGTGTGAGGAATACCCGATTCGGGAATATTCTGTGGTGTAGGATCCGGTCTGATTTGTGGTTCAGGCTCTTGGCAGTGTTGGCTAGTTTCAGTCTCTATTCCTTGCTTCCGGTTCTTCCTCCTGTAAACCAGCAGTTTTTGTGTTCCTATTTGTTCCCTATTTTCATCTTTATTAATGTTATGAGATGACTCTATAGACTCAGGATTCAAATTTTTATTACTCACATCACCTAACTCTGTATTTATTAGGAAGTTTAGGCTTCTTGCAGTTTCAATTTTAGTTTCTATTTCAAAGTTTGAATCTTCCCTTAAGCTCTCCCCCTGAAGATGAGTACCAAAAAATGGTTGAGACTCAAAGAAGGTAACATCCATTGTGACAAACATTTTTTTTGAGCTCACGTCATAGCACTTATATCCTCTTTGGTTTAGAGCATAGCCTACAAATATGCACTTTCTAGCGCGATGATCTAACTTTCTCCTATTTTGGCTGTGAATATGGACAAATGCACTACACCCAAACACTCTCAAAGGTAAATCTGTAGTCAACTTAGAGGCAGGGAAAGTGTTCTTGAAGACACTTAGGGGTGTTTTATAATCTAAAACTTTGGTAGGCATGCGGTTTATGAGGTATGTGGCAGTTAGGAGAGCCTCTCCCCAAAGGTACTTAGGAACACCATTAGAAAATAATAATGCTCTCGTGACTTCTAGGAGGTGTTTATTTTTTCTTTCCGCTATGCCATTCTGTTGGGGTGTATCTGAACACGAACTTTGATGTATTATGCCCTTGTCTAAAAAATATCCTCCCAATATTTCATTGAAGTATTCTCTGCCATTATCACTCCTAAACACTTTTACTTTCTCTTGAAATTGTGTTTCAATCATTGTATAGAATACCTGAAATATCTCTTTTACTTCAGATTTGTCCCTTAATAAATATACCCAAGTGAGTCGTGTGTGATCATCTATAAAGCTAACAAACCATTTTTTTCCATACATTGTTGAGGCTCGAGATGGTCCCCAAACTTCACTATTAATTAATAAAAACGGTTTTGATGCTTGATATGGTCTAGCGGGAAAGGAAGTACGATGATGCTTAGCTAGTTCACAAATCTCACATTTAAAAGAAGATGGACTTTTATTTCTAAATAAATCAGGTAACAAATGTTTTAAGTAATAAAAACTAGGATGCCCTAATCTATAATGCCAAATCATAACATTATTAGGAATGAAAATAGAGTTGAAACAAGAGTTTGTAACTAGGTGTCCTGATTCGGTTCCATATTCAAGGAAATAGAGACCTCCACTTTCTCTAGCACTGCCAATCATCCTCCCCGAGACCATGTCCTGAAACTCACACCGAGAAGAGTAAAAAATAACACGACAATTAAGAGAACTTGTTATCTGACTGACAGACACAAGATTGCAAGAGAGTTTTGGAACATGGAGTACATCATGCAAGGTTATATAATTGGAAATTTTGACAGTCCCTGTTCCAGTAATTGCGGAGAGGGAACCATCAGCAATTCTAATCTTCCTATTCCCTGCACATGGAGTATAAGTTGAAAAAAAAAGGGAGCAACCTGTCATGTGATCAGTGGCTCCTGAATCTATGATCCAGGAGCTGTTTTGTTTGGGATTAACACTGAGGAAGGCTGAGGCGAGATTACCTGTTTTGACAAAAGAACATGAAGGGTTTGATTAGTTTACTCGAAAGTGTGAAGACTGAAAAAGGTTGTGCAGCTGCTCTAATTGTTCCTTTGTGAAAGACAGCCCTTCAGAAGTACCTTGCTGCCCCTGATCTTCACTGGTTGCTTAAGCCGAGAAGCCCCAGGAATCAGCACTTTTTTTCTTCTAGTTCTGCGGTTTTCCGTGGATCTTCTAGCAATTTTCCCTCGTATGCCAATGTTTTTTGCAGTGGTAACACCAGGGCTTCTTCTTCCTGTCATTATCTGAGTCATTCCTCATTGACACTAGGGCAGAATTATCAGTCACAGCAGCCACTGGTTTGTCATCCTCCTCGGTCTTCATCATAACTTTCCTCCTAGTCTCCTCTCTTCTAATTTCAGAAAACGCCTCCCGAAGAGTTGGTAGGGGATTTTTCCCAAGAATCCTAGACCTAATCTCATCATAGACTCGGTTTAAACCAGCCAAAAAAAGGTACACCCGATCACTTTCTTCTTTTTTCAGAAATCTAACGCTATCCATCGGGCAATCCCACTCATCATTATAGCATTGATCTAATTCTTGCCATAGAGACACCATCTCATTATAATAAATGGTAACCTCACGCTCACCTTGTTTGGATTTCCACAACTTGGTTTTTAATTCAAAATTTTGTGAGGAATTTTTAAGATCGGAATAGGTTTCTCTCACTGCATCCCATACGTCTTTTGCAGTGGGAAGGAAAAGATAGGGCTTACCTATAGTTGGTTCCATAGAGTTAATTAACCATGCAGCAACTAACGAATTTTCTGACCTCCATGCCCTTAGTTTCGGGTCCCCATCTCCAGGCTTCTTCACTGCTCCATTTAAATGACCGAGTTTTCCTCTTCCATCAATGGCCAACTTCACCGATTGTGCCCATTCTAGGTAGTTCTTCCCGTTCAGTTTGTGGAGAGTCAATTGGAACGAAAATTGAGTCGAGTCTCCTCCTTGTGCCATGGTGGTTCGATCTGGTTCACCACGATTAGAATCTCCTGCCCTAGAGGATGCCGAGGATCTGCCTTCTTCTGTGATGGCCGTTTTAGCCATGGGTTAAGAAGGTATTTTTCGGCTCTGATACCATGAAGGTTTCAGGGCAGAAAAGAATATTCTTTATTGATCAATTTCTATACAAGAAGTTACAATATTTATAGGAGAAAACCTTATGGGAATCAGGAAATAAAATCCCATGGAAAGAGGAATTAGATGAGATCCTTATCTCAAGAGATCTCCTTTAAAAACTGAAAGTATAAACTACTTTCCTATCTTATCTCTAAGCCACTATTAACCGGATTATTCCTATTTTCTACAGATAAGAATCCTTTTCTGTGACAAGATTGTTTATGTTGATGATATCATCCTAACTGGTAATGATGAAATAGAGTTAGGCATTCTGAAGAAAAGACTTACAGAGGATTTTCAAGTCAAGGACCTAGGAAGGCTAAAATACTTTCTTGGTATGGAGTTTGCTAGATCCAAAGAAGGTATTTTTGTCAATCAGAGGAAGTATGTACTTGATCTACTCAAAGCAATAGGTCTCCTCGGCTGTAGGGTGGCCGAGACTCCCATTGAGCCTAATGTGAAGTTACAAGCCGCCAAGATTGAAGAAGTGAAGAACAAGGAACAATATCATAGACTTGTAGGTAGATTGATCTACTTATCACATACACGTCTTGATATTGCTTTTGCAGTGAGCATGGTAAGTCGGTTTATGCACTCACCAGGACCAAAGCACTTCGAAGCGGTTTACAGGATTCTGAGATATTTGAAAGGAACTCCAGGGAAAGGCTTACTATTCAAGAAACACGACCATCTACAGATTGAAGTCTATACTGATGCAAACTGGGCCGAAAGTGTTACAGATAGAAGATCTACTTCGGGTTACTTTTCCTTTGTTGGAGGAAATCTAGTTACTTGGCAAAGCAAAAAACAGAATGTGGTGGCTAGGAGCAGTGCAATGGCAGAATTCAGAGCTGTTGCCCTTGGAATTTGTGAGGGAATATGGATCAAGAGAATACTTGAGGAGTTGAAGATTCCTCATTTGTTACCTATAAAAGTCTATTGTGACCACAAGGCTGCTATATCTATAGCTCATAATTAGTTCTACATGATCGAACAAAACATGTAGAAGTGGATAAACATTTTATCAAGTAGAAGCTTGACACAGGAGTAGTATGCATGCCGTACCTTCCAATGACAGAACAAGACGCTTATGTGTTAACTAAGGGGCTACATAGAAAGCAGTTTGATAAATTAGTTGGCAAGCTGGCTATGGAGGATATCTTCAAACCGGCTTAAGGGGGAGTGTCGGCAAAGGAGTCAATTAGGGATTTTATCGCGATTTAGTCATGATCCTAGAAGTATATTAGGATGTGTATCTAATGTAAATATAGAAAGTCAATACAGAATATTAGGAAATAGAAAACTGTCAATATTTTATTTTATTCTTTTAGTTTTTTGTGTAATTCCGTGTAATTCTCTTGCCTATAAAGAGGGCATTGTACTCATTCAATAAGATTATTCCAGACACAATTTCTTCATACCTTCTAAGTGATTAGAGAAGCTATGAAGAGAACATTGAAGAACACTAATATGAAGCCTTTGAGTCAATCATCGTATTTGAGATTGCAAATTTTGTCTAGGAGTTTTTACGATGTCAATGAGAAGCTTCAGATTTTAGAGCAGTTGTCTGTTAATGATCTGAAGGCATTTATTCCTGAGCTCCATTCCCAGGTATAGAGATATATTATATTACATACTGGACATGACATATAACAGTTAATACTTCAAGTTCATCATTATGTGCAACCTCAGTTTCTCATTTCGTAAATGTAGCAGTAGCTTGCAATAATTGGAGGCCAGAACAATTTTTTCATATGTCTAACCTAAAAGCTGCACAAATCTCCTTACAAATTGAGTTGTTTTATTCTGCTACACACATCTAATGATTTATTTTTCTGACGTCTAAAACTGAAAGCTTCATGTATGACTTTTTTTTTTCCTTGTCGCGCACGTCTAATGATTTCTTATTTGATTAGTAATCCTGAATAGACCTAGTAATTCTGTTTTCTAGATTTTTACATCTAATCGATCGCTGAAAGAATTATATTGGCTGAAACATTTGTTAACCTCTCTTGTTATTTCGCACAGCCATACATGGTAGGACTTTGCCGTGGCAATTTATCAGAAGAAGAAGCGATTGCCATTTCAAACATATTCAAGACAATTTTTTCTGCACAACCACTCCCATATAAAAGGAAGCACAAAACTATGCTATCCGTCTTCCTGCTGGTGCTAACCTTGTTAGAGATGTCAGAGTAAAGAATAAGATGGAAAAGAACTCAGTTGTTGAGGTAATTGAATATTGATTACGTTTCTAGTTACGAGTTATAGATAGAAGACGTATGATATTTCATTTTCTCGTTTCGTACGTATTTGTATGTGTGTGTGTGTGTGTGTGTATTTCTCAGTTGTTTGGTTTTCCATTGCAGCTTTATTTTCAAGTTGAGCAGGATCCGGGGATGGATTCCATGAAACTCAAAGTATCGATAGATCTCTTTGACGAAATTGTGGACGAACCAATGTTTAATCAAATAAGGTGATTTTGTCTGAATCTGAAAGTAATTTATTTTGGACTATCTATAATGGACCTTGTTAATTGTCTATTCTTTGAATTTATTTTTTTTTCTTTTTATTATTCTTTGTTGGTTCAGGATACTATATCATGGTATTTCCAACATCAGTGTTAAAAAAAACAAAAAAAACAAAAACAAAAAAAAAAACAAAAAAACTTGTGAAAAATATCATTTTTGCGAGACAATAATTGTGGGAGCACATTTCTTCCGCTTCTCAGATGGATTGTATTGGCGCTAGATCCTCTTAAATTGGTGATACCATGATGCATGATTACTGATGAAATTTTGACTTTCTAAAAACTTGAGCTTCCATCTTAAAAGGTTATGTATTGGAGGGATTGAGCCGCTCGTTTGAGCTAGTTGGTCTCTGATACCATCATAGAATTTGGACTTTTGAATGAGTTAGTTTTCATCTTAGAAGGTCAACCTGTTAAGTGGGGTGACTCAATGTCCTTATAAATTGATTTTTATTATTGTGTTTAAATGATGTGGGATTTTGTTTCACTTGAATTTGAATCTTAAATGATGATGTATATCTCAGCTTTTTTCTTTGGAGGTTGTCCTTTGTTTCACTTGAATTTGAATTGACAGCATTTATCCTTTTAATACATTTTAGAACTTATTTTGCGAATTTCAAATGTAGAACAAAGGAGCAGCTGGGCTATGTTGTTAGATGTAGCCCGCTGAAAACATACGGAATTCTTGGATATTCTTTCTGTGTCCAATCATCTGAGTACAGCCCAATCTATTTGCAAGAGAGAATTGATGACTTCATAAATGGGCTGGAAGACTTATTGGTAAGCAACTGAGCCCTTGTTTAGTTTGCTGGTTCGAATTTTGTTTGATTTGAAGGATGACGTAGTTGAGGTTAAGCGAATAGGGGATAGAATTATTATACTCAAATTGGTACTAAGAAATAAGTCTATCTATGTAATTAGTGCTTACGCTCCACAAATAGGATTGGATGCGGAAACTAAAGTCAAGTTCTGGGAAGACATGGATGACTTAGTGTGTCGTATAGGCAATGGGGATAGCATTTTCATTGGAGGAGATTTCAATGGGCATGTTGGTAAGGATAGGGAAAACTTCAAAAGGATCCATGGTGATTTTGGTTTTGGAGCTCGAAACGAAGAAGGAAAATCTATTTTGAAATTTGCGTTGGGACATGATTTTATCATAACAAACACATTTTTCAAGAAAAGAGATTCTCACTTGATAACTTTTAAGAATGGAAGGAACTTAAGCCAGATAGATTATTTTCTCACCAGGTATAGAGATCGTTCTCTATGTAAGAATTGTAAAGTAATTCCTGGAGAAGTATTAGCCACCCAACATAGGTTAGTGATCTTAGATGTGAGCATTAAGCTTTGCTATAGAAGAATTAAGATAAACCACCTCCCACAAACTCGTTGGTGGCATTTGAAGGGAATAAAGTAATTGGCCTTTAAAGAGAAGTTGTTAGATGAGGCTACTTGGTCATATGTAGGTGATGTAAATACTATGTGGGATGCCATGGCCAGCTGCATTACAAAAGTGGCAAAGGAGGTACTAGGGGAATCTAGAGGTAAAGGCCCCCCGGAAAAGAAACCTGGTGCTGGAGTGAGGAAGTTCAAAAGGCTATTAGGACTAAGAGGGATTTATATAGAGATTTACCAAAGCGTAAGGATGTTGAAACTTTTAATGAGTACAAAGAAGCGAAGAAAGAAGCTAAGCGAGCAGTTGGTAAGCCTCGTTCTACTTACTTAGATGAGGTATATAGAAAACTTGGGACTAGAGAATGAGAGAAGGATATATATAAACTAGCTAAGATAAGAGAGAGGAAGTGTCAGGACCTAAATCAAGTGACGTGTGTTAAGGATGATACGGATCAGGTTCTGACAAGAGATAAAGACATTAGGGAAAGGTGGAGGAGTTACTTTGAGAAGCTTTATAATGATGATCATGTGATAGAGTTTGACAATCTTAGGTCACAAGGAAAACCTAATGTGATGTATACAAGAGGAATCAGAGACTCGGAAGTTAAAACTGCACTCCGGAAGATGAAAAAGGGGAAGGCATGTGGGCCAGATGATATTCTAATAGAGTTTTGATGGCGTTAGGAGATGCTAGAATTGTGTGGCTCACTAAGCTTTTTAATGAGATACTAAAGAATAAGCATATGCCTGATGCATGGAGGAAAAGTATTCTTGTCCCCATGTTCAAGAATAAAGGAGACGTACTGAATTGTAACAATTATAGGGGCATAAAGTTAATAAGCCACACTATGAAACTTTGGGAGAGAGTTATCGAAATGAGATTAAGGGCCACAACTACCATCTTAGGTAACCAATTTGGCTTCATGCCAGGCAGATCAACCATGGAAACCATTTTTCTTCTTAGGATGCTGATGGAAAGGTACAGAGAAATCAAGACGGACCTACATATGGGCTTTATAGATTTAGAAAAGGCATATGATAAGGTGCCGAGGGAAGTTTTATGGTAGGTGCTAAAAAATAGAAGAGTGCATATGAGGTATATTAAGGTAATTAAGGACATGTACGATAGGGTGGTCACGAGTGTGAGAACTGCTGGAGTCTACACGGTAGAGTTCCTCATTCGGATCAGCCTTCATCAAGGATCTGCTCTTACTCCTTATTTTTTCACCATTGTGATGGATGAGCTAACAAGAGAAATCCAAGATAGAGTTCCTTGGTGTATGTTTTTTGCGGATGATATAGTTTTAGTTTATGAACATAGGGAAGGAGTTAACCGTAAGTTAGAACTGTGGAGACAGACTCTCGAGACGAAGGAATTTAAGTTAAGTAGGACGAAAATTGAATACATGCATTGTACGTTTAGTAACTCAAGTAATCAGAGTGATGAAATTTCTTTAGATGGTGTGGAGATTGGGGCTTCTGGGAAGTTTAGGTACCTTGGGTCTATAGTGCAGTACGAAGGAGATATAGAAGAGGATATTCAACATAGGATTAAGGCAGGGTAGGTTAAGTGGAAGAATGCTACGGGAGTTTTATGTGATGGCAAGATACTTATTAAGTTGAAAGGAAAGTTCTATAGGACTGTAATCCGCCCAGCTATGTTATATGGTAGTGAATGTTGGGCCATTAAGAGACAACATATATCTAAGATGAGTGTGGCAGAAATGCATATGTTAAGATGGATAAGTGGCCATACGAGGATGGATCGCATAAGGAATGAAGTTATTCGTAGTAAACTAGGTGTAGCACCAATAGAAGATAAGGTGCGCGAATGCCGCTTGAGGTGGTTCGGGCATGTCCAACGTAGACCGCTAGAAGCACCAATTTGTGCTTGGAAGGACATTCTTATACTTAATACTAGGAAAGGGATGGGTAGTGTAATACCCAAGATTTAATTAAGCCTTAAGCCAATAATAAATAAATTTAGTAAATTAAAATCATGCATCACATTTACCATTTACCTAAAAGTTATTTTTTGGCAATATATTTTA